TGCGTTCAAACATGGTGCGGACATTCCATGTCCCCACGTTTAGTTTCGCTTTCATCAAGGGAGAGAAAACACATCGGCCAATTGGCTTCCCGAAGGCTTTCACCAACCAGCGTCATTTCGCCTCTCCGATTCCATCGAGGACTAAGTTTGTTTTTATGTTTTATATTTTGTCTGTGCTTCGAAGCTTCTGTAGCGGCTGGATTGGTTTTGTGGAGTAGGGTTGCTAGCCCTATGCCGAACCTTCCCTCTTCACCCGGTCTTTGGACCGGCTAGTAACTAGTGAACTAGTTAACCAGGAGAGGTTTTTGAAGTCGTTGATAAGAAATAGCTCTTCGCTGGTACATTTCTCGTTCTTATTTATGAATAAATTTTTATATTTCGTCACCACTTCTGTTTTTAGACAGAGAAGTGGTTTTAGTTTTGCCAGACGCGTCGACTAAATAACAATTTTAATATATTTCGAATGACAAATCACACGAACGCTTGCCGTTTTTACAGGCAATATCTGAAGGTTATTTTTCCCGGTGAGGCTGAGAAAACTTAAGAGGAATGAATCCTTACACCACACAATCCACCAGAGGATGTCTCCGGTCACAATATTAGATAATAACCCTTTCGCTACACAACAGTAGTGAATAGTAACAGGAATTGTCGCTCAGTGTCAGTTTTAACCAGATAAACGTGGTTAAGCCTCAACATTTTAGTCAATGAGTCATACAAATGGTAAAAGCACATAGAATATCAAATGCCGAGCATAAATAAAGCCGAAAAATTGCGAATATTCGGTTAGTTTGTGTTGTTTACAGGAAGCGTGTAAAACTAGATTTAGGTCCTGGTATCGACCGATGATAAAGCTTGGAATCAGTATCACGCAGTGCCAAGCAGAAAGTAGCGATTGTTTGCGTCCACGTCGTTGAAAAAATTCACCGGAACAAACTGTGCTAAAGTTGCAACTCAATCCAGAAACTGTTGTCATTTTGCGGCGCATGATATGCAAGGTTTCATCATCAAGCTATTCAGTATGTCTTCATGGTCGACGCTTCATACGAGGTCAGTTTCGGTTTTCTTCAATACGAAGTCAGTAGTTATTACTGGTGGGGAACCTGTATGTTTGGATACAAACAGAGTGTAACGCCATCATTTCCGGATACAATCCCAGCTGAAACCATAAACATAGAGTGAACTGTCAAAATAATCGTTATGCAGCGGTTGCACTGTTAATCTGTCTGTCAGAAAGGAAGGGAAACGCAGGTACGGAACGGTTTGTCGTGTACCTAAGTCAATGAGTAACAAGATATGAAGGGAATGATCACAGAAGAAGAATTCGGATGCAGGCTTGAGAGCTGTCGCGCAAAAATTACCTGTCTTATCAGTAATAAACCAGGGTGAAATGGTAGTCAGTGAATTTTAGTGCACGATAAACACGAAGTATAGTGCTGAAACTGTTTGTCTAAAAGGTAAAGCACACAGGTCGATGCGTCTGAGCCACAACCTATGAGATAAGGAGTAAGTAAGCGTCACGCACACAGGCGTATGTAGAGGCTTATTCAGATGCATCTGAATACGAGGTAAATTCTGGCATGAAGAAGTGAGTTGATGGGAGTCCTAGCGTGTGGAAAATAGGACAGGTTGATGGGGAAACGTTTGCGACGAGGTTTGAGGACACACTGTCTCCAGTAATACAACTAAGTGAATTTGGACGCCTTTCGGAGTCAGGCGAGTAGGCTTTTCACCATACATGGGCTACCCCACTAAGATGGTACAGATTATACAACGAAGGGGAAACTGCCAGATATACAGGTTTCCCACAGTTCCAAACTAACATCCGTTTAATTCATAAAATGATGCCTGGGAAGAGATCCCACCTGCATTTGTTCCTAAGTTACGGTAACTTTCACTCCCTTGGGGACAACTGGGTCCTACAGAGTCATCTCTGAGTGCTTCTCTTGTAAAACATCTATCTACAACTGGACTGCGGATATCATCTGGACTGCAAAGCAATTTGTGAATGAATTTGAACTGCAACACAGAAGCACTTCTGCATGTGATTACTGGGAGTCTTCTCCAAATCGAGCTGTAATATGTAGTGTATGATTTACACCTTACCCGTTTATTGCATCCATGTATTGCAAACGTGAGTGCATGAGTCTTAAGTCCACATGGCGGTGTATGTCTCCAAGCGGGTGGGGAGGAGCAGTGTGACAGACCATGCAGGGTTTTGTACAACAGAATTTGTTTCTTAGGCGCCGTTTCCATAGCGGCTCAACAAACAGTAAGGTGCACCTATATATGTTTGAAGAGAAGACCATACTGCACCTACCAATGTGAATGCCGCATGCTTATTTGGTTTTTACCAATTTCATTTGCAGATTTGATTGTCTTTCATTGAGAGCTTCTTGAGAGAGTGGAAAGTCTCCATAGTGGTACGAGGGAGACGAAGCAAATTGAGGGCTTTTTAAGTGGCAGCAGGCAGCAAGGCAAATATGACGAGACACCGCCGTCGTGGAAACCGGTGAGGAGTAACTTACGTCAAAGTGTAGCCTCAGGCACTATTTTCCTCTTACTCCACAATCTACTGGAAAACGTTGGACCACCACGTCTCATGTTTTCTGATGATGCCAAGGCGTGGGAAGCTAGAAAGATCGATAGGGGCGGCCTGCTGAACCGAAAAGACCTGAACTAATTGGCTAGATGGGCTAGTAGGTCGTTTCCGGAGGTAAGCGCTAGTAAGGGTGTATACACGTGTAGGAAGGGAGAAAATCTTCACAACTATATGGCTTTTATTATATCGTTACTCATTATTCCCGAGTATGAGAACCAAGATATTGTTGTACGTTATGACCTTCAAGCGGCAGCAAACCGGAGAACATCGGCTGAAAAAGCTAATAAAGGCCTACAGTCTCTTTATAAGACTATCCAGCGGTCCTTAGGTATATGTTAAAGGTAATGTTACTGGCATGTCAGACGTCAGCTATAACGTGAGGTCCAAATGACAATCCAATGTTCCGAACGTAAAACGAACAAGCTAGAACACACTCAGCGTGAAGCATTCACAGGGCAAACAGCTTTTCGGGAATCACTTGTAACAAACTACTAGATCGATTTGAGCACACTAGAGTGACTTGATACTTCATACTAGACTACTCTTTCCTAAGTATCAACGTCGTTACCAACCTGCCTGCTGCATTCCTTTCCCTGGAAATTATTTGCTTTGAGGGATATATCCAAAATATCCGGAAAACGCAATTGATTTGGGTGGGTCTTGAAATCTGTTTATCACTTCGGATTACCAGCCGGCTAAGTTGTTTGTCTCACCACGTCCCTACCTTTCCTCTTGCGCAAACTTTAATCCTCGAGGCGGAAAGTGACGTTCTTTTCGTCCACAGTGTTGAAGGGCGCCGCATTTGGAAACGATAATTGCTAATTGTCTGGGCAATCATCTGCATTACTTGGTTGAGTGGAGTTACATGGAATCAAGGCAACCCCTGTTACGTTCCTCAAAGTACTATCAAAGCTCCGCACAGGGAAATCACCGGAATGCCAAGTTATGGAGAGGTGTGACAGCCACAGCGGAATAAAGTGCACCCCAAAGTAACCTCAGGTCGTTTGCAGGGTAGGTGAATAATAATGGGCAGGCATTTAACCCGGACAAATGGCGAACCATGTTTCTCTGCACCTCTGACTCCCAGAGAGTATCCCAATCTGTACCGAGAACGCCAATTTCCCCACCACCGTGCAAAAGAATTAGGACTGATACTGGCCGGCTGACAGGTGTCAGCTCCGAGTATCCAGGAGGTGCCCACAGAGCCTACGCAGCACTGCAGTCCGCGTGCGGACAACTAGGTGCCCTCACTCTGGAACTCTTAATGAAGCTATGTGAGACCAATATATGACCTATTCAGAAGCCCGCAACGTCGTTGCAGCACCATACATGAAAAAAGGACGCGAACTTCCAGCAGAAAGTCCGGTGGAGAGAAACAAAGGGTGTTGTAGGAATGCGGCAAAAACCATACGAGGACGGGCTAAAAGATCTGCGATTTTACTTAGTTGCTGTAGATTACCTGGGGACTCGATAACAGTCAACAAATTATTGAGTAATCCAAGCTATTTGAACAGTTGAATTCTACATAACGGCCACCATGGCAATCTTCGTGGACACTGGTGGATAATCACCCTTCAAAGGGTGAAAGTCCACGTTCGTTTCCAACTCGTCTGTCCGCGAGTTTCCGACCACTGGAACTCTTTACCTACCAAGATTGCATCTACTTCGTCCGTCGACAGATTCAGAGAGAGGTTAGCTACTAAGTGACGCATAGCTTGAGTTCGTCCAGCTGGGATACGGAAAAGACCAATAAAACCTACTGATTCTGCATAATCCAGCACGATCAATCTTAGACCGGATCAATGGCGCTACCACTGTCATCATGAACTCGACTTCACCCTATTTTTCCACGCTGGACAGCTCACCTCCAGTTGCCACACCCCCACTTACGACATCACTGTTTCTACTCCCATAATCCGTCCTATGATCTTACTTGCCCATTCTCTTGACCCTAACTCTATGGTCTCACCCTATTTATCAAGGTTCTCCCCATCACTTATCCCCCAAGAATCTACCTGGGTTTCTCCTTTCCTTCCGTCCCGCTTCCTTTTACCTGAATTTTTCTTTTTTCTTCCGAGCATTTCTTCTCCGTTGACTCCGTTGGACGTATTTTCATCTCCTTTTTACAAGCAGTCCAGCCGGCTGTCTGGTGGTGCGACACTCATGGAACTCATCTGCACCTCATTCCATGAAAAAACCACACAGTCCCAACAGATATAATCAACACCCAACCGCTTATCGGGCTAACCAAAGCTACAGCTGCATCAGAATTGACCAAAGACCTGGAACCGTCCCGCAAGACTTAGAAGTGAGCACGAAGAAATCAGATGATTTACACTGGCTCACAAAAAAGGTATTGGACATTGGGTAACCTTGCGGGGATATTTGATTCAGCAACATGAGAGGTAGTCTCCAGGACTAACATATTACTGCTGTAGTATTTTCTAGAATTACAAAACAAAACCTGTAGTTTTCATTAGACTTAGATATCTGGTGTGTCTGATGAGTTTCACTTGGCCTTATTGGATGTATTTCATTGAATCTCGTCACACAATAGGGTTGTCTAACATCAGTAGTGCAAGCGAAGGAGACTTGTAGTTTTTAGACTCTTGATTCTAGGTCTTGAAGTTCAGTTCCTTTTGTTCGTATCATTTGGCGATGCCCCGCTTCGGCAGTTCAGCTGCAAATCCTCACTACCAGTACCAACGGTGTTGACACCTATGTGCTGAAGTAGTAATGCTGCATGTTTCCTTGGCAGAAAGGTTAATCATGTTAGGACTACGAGTATAGTGGTTCATTTGAGTGATAGAGGTCAAAACAGTCCATGCATAGAAAAAATGGGTTCTCATGTCTTGAGGAAGGCGCGATGATGTTACGACTTTGGTAGCTCGCGAAATAGTTCTTTTAAGAGAACTACATGCCTCCGTTTAGATATCCTTACGTTACCACAACCCATACAGACCATGAATCAGCATCTCCAAAGAAGTACACAAAGCAACAACTGAATCTTTCTGTGGTGTGCTTCCTAGTTGATTATTCAATGTGTCTTCACATCGTCGATATTTTCACTTCTGAACTGTGTCGTCATTTCGTAACCATTATCAGACTAGCGTTCCTGTGGATTTTCTTCTTAGCCCGGCTGGTTAACTTTTCTGCTACTTCTGTGCATGAATGTTGGTACTCGTAATGATAACCTTGGCAATCTGAGTATTTGAAGCTAAGTTGTCAGAGCAAGATATCGTGAAGCGATCACTGTCATCGGTGTGCCGAGGCGAATATTATCTTCGATTCAAACTGCCACCTTCAGCATTGGGCGCATTTATAGATCTATCCACTTGAACTTCACTCTCATTTGATGCCTTTCCTCTTACCCTGACGACAGCAGCCATTCCATCACTCATCCAGAAGAAGCTTGATGCCATCTCCAGTCTGCCGTAAAAGCGCCGAAGACCGTAGCCGACTCCGAAAGAGTGGCTAAAAAAAGCCGGTGGATATCAGCAGGTTCTTTCGAACTAATGGATGCACATGAACGCATCCCTGCAGGCCCCGAGTACAATGAAGAGCGGGCACAACTTTAAAGTAGACAGAAAAAGTCTACGCAACGACCGCGTACAGTGGTGGGCAGCAAAGGCTAAAGAGATGGAAAAAGCGGCGGCGATTGGTAACAGTAGACAGTTATTTAGACTTATTAGGAAAACTGGGGGGAAAAGGTCTACTGCAGTTAGTGAGACCGTATGTGGCGCCGCTGTGATATCCGATTGTTTACTGAGGTCCGCGTGTACTCCACAGCAGTACACTCTGTTCTGCTGTATGACTGTGAAACATGGCCATTGAAGGTGGAAGACATGAGAAGGCTTCAAGTGTTTGACCACAGTTGACTTCATAGTATAGGCCGTATTCCGTAGTGTCACCACGTGAGTAACGCAGAAGTCAGGAGTAGAGTTTTAGGGAGAAGGGGTAAGTCGGTTGACGAGGTCGTTATGAATCTTCATCTACTGAGTTGGTCGGGACACGTGTTACGTATGTCTAGTCACCGATTGCCTCGTCACACAATGTTGGTTGAAGTAGGTCCAGGCTGGAAAAAGGCTCTAGGTGGCCAGATCAAAATATGGCACTGATGTATGAAGTCTCTGACTGTTGGGTTGAGCCATGTGGACGGGGGGGGGGGCGATGCAGACTAGGTGATTGGGGTCCGTGGGACAAGAGGAACCAGTGATTGGAGACTCTAGGTGATGTGGCTCAGAACCGATGTCAGTGGCGCAGATGTATACGTACATTATCCTCATCCTAACGACACTATGCTAAACTCACCACTTTCTCATTCTTCGTTTCTCTCTTCTCGTACTTTATATTTCTTTTAACTGGATTCTCTTATCTTCATCTTGCACCTCACTGCTTTTTTTACTTGGTGTACTGATATGAGGTATGGCAACTCGGACCGTTACGCAGTAATGCCTGGTCCTAGCTTGATCTAGATAGATAGATAGGTTACTGATAGAAATAAACACACTCAAGACTGAGGAAAACGGAATGAAATCGTATCTCCTGATCACTTTTGTCGCTCAAAATCCTTGCACAGTTATTTCCCGGTTTGCGATCTCATGCTTTGGTTTAACTGTTTGAAGCTTCTTACTCCAAAAGACATCTGATATCGAAGCCTACACCAGTCTGCAGCTCTAAATATATTTCCCTTATTATTTCTAACCGTTTTGGATGCCGTAGAAAGCTTTCCATGATTTTCATCATGGTACGTTTATTGCACCGACCCCACAGTTATTTTTAACCGTTTGATTACATTTTCATTGATAATTAGGTAAACGGATGCACAAGGGTAGAACCCGAAAGTTCACGGCTCCAGAGGAAATAGACCGCCAACTTGGAGTAAGTGAAGCACAGTTGGTGTGTGTTACATGATGTGATTATCTGTTCGTTTTTAAATAGATTGTATTAGAACCATAGCTCATCACTTTTCGGATTTGGTCCTCCAACCACCGAGTCTTTGGATTAGAATTTGCTTCACTTACCAACACTTGATCTTCCAGATGGCATCCATATCCTTCACAAAAGAACGGCTTACAACCCAACAGATGGGTCAGCATTCGGTTACTGAATTGAGTTCAGGTCCAAACGAACTCTTGTGCCTGATTGATTTACAAAGCAGAAGTAGTGGGTAGTTGTATGACAGCATAGTTACCAGCGATATGAATACACATATTTAGTTGCAATGTTGAAAACACTTACCACTGATTTCATCGACTTTCCATCTGTCTTCGCTTCCGTCAGTCTAATTGTTGAATAGAACCGTAATGTGCACTTTATAAGTAATCAGAGCTATTTTCTAGCCACTAATAGGTAAAATAGCAATATTTCATTCATAAAAATCGCAGAAACTGGTTTGTAACAAATAATTAAATACTGTGTAGACAAACATCGGTTACAGAAACTAGTAATACTAACACTTCGTGATAAATAAGATTTATATTGTAATATCGTGATGTGAGAATATCTCTAACTTCACATATACAAGCTGGCACTTCTAGACCAATCTTCATCCATATTCCATCTCGTAGTTAGGAAGCATGTGATGGGACGCGTTGAAAAGCTTACTTACCTTTGGATTTGCATTAGCTATTATTAACTGACAACTTTGAGAATCTCTGTGTAAAATAATAATGCCTTTTGAGAAGCATTACAACCACAATGTCGGTAGTTTATGAATACGTTTTATAGAGGGGTACGTACCCCTCATATTATTTTGTTGTTTTTTTCATTGTCTTTTCCTGAGGGGATATGTTTGAACTGTTAATTTGAGATATTGTCTTCTTATCATTGCGTCTAAACAACTTATTACTCGTGCTTTGTAGGTTTTTTTGTAGTAGTGAATATATTTTCCTTAAATTTATCACGGAAATTACTACAGTTGGTTAGAATGTAGCAGTCTTATATCATATTTGACCATAAATGATACCATCTACTGCCTAGCAGTAATAAACAGTTTTATCTCCTGAATATACAGGGCTATACCGATTTCACAGGTATGGTTATGATGAGTTCTATACAAAATCTTGTAAAAATAAACCTAACATCTTAAATTCTCAAATGGAGTTGTGATTCATTGGTCTAAAGAGGATAACTTTGCTAATGCCGATGTAAATGCTAAATATTAGATGCGATACAAGAAAAAACATAAAAATGCCAACTTATGCCTACCTGAAATAGGTAAAACCCATTTATTCAATTTATAGCAACAGTCAATTCCCTGAAAAGTAGATGAATATCAATAGGTTGTATAGTAGTTAATTCTCTGTACGACCGAAGTGATGTTCCAAAATAGTCTATCAAAATGGGCACATATGAGTTTCATGCAACGAAAAACTGGATTAATCAAGACCGTAACAAATTTACTTATTCCAACTCAAGTGTAACCGGCTTATACTAGGTAGACACAAGTCATAGCTGTTCAACTTCCGGTTACTCTGTCTCACTCCTACCCGCATATGATAGTGACAGTTCATAAGACACTGTTAATGAAGTATGTTTGATTGAAGACAGGAATTATAAAGTTTAGGCGTCAAATGATAGGTTTGACGTATTTCCTTACAACTTTTCAATGGCATTACCCTCTTCTAAATCTTGACTTCATTTGTTCAAGATAGACAAAGCCTAGGAACGTTGAACATCTGTTCTTGAACTCAGTAGCGCACTCTGTATGGATTGAAGCTCAAGACAATCAGATCTCATAACAACCATACTACTGTTCTGTGCTACGGATGTCCACTGTCACTGTTCCTACTTAACTTCGTCATAGACGCACTAATGGACATAACCTTAGGTACGTCTGACTTCATAGGGATTGACGTACTCCCTGAAGGTCATCTAGTTGACTTGGAGTATGCAGACAATATTATCCTGCTAGGTGAAGACGCTGACAAAATGCAGAGTCTTCTGGACACGTTGAGCAGAAATTTGAGTATGTTTGGCATGCGTTTTCCACCTGTCAAATTTAAGCTTATCTTCCAGGAACCGGTCTGCAATTACTCATAGTGTAATGGTAGGCAGAGAAGTGGTTGGATGTGTCGTCCACTTCACCTACTTGAGGAAATGCATTCGCCCGCCGAACGGGCTGGTTGCTGACAAAATCTCAGCACAGATACAGAAGACTCGTTCAGCATTTGCCAACTTATGTCATCTGTGGCGCCGTCTGGCGAGATATCCTACTATCTACTAAATGACGAGTATACTGCACTGCAGTCCGTTTCATCCTGTTGTATGACTAGGAGACATGGCCGTTGAAAGTAGAAGACATGAAGTGGTTGCAGGATTTTGATCATAGATGTTTTCGTAACATTGCTCGCGTTTGGTGGGATCATCGTGTGTGTGTAACGTTAGGGTCAGGCGAAAGGTTACTAAGCAAGACAGGTAAGTCGGTTAGCGAAGTTCAGTTTGTTACTGGTCTTAACGTTGGTTTGGGTTTCCTATCGGGTCCTGTGACTAATGAACTGAAAGAAATGCTTAACGTTGGTCTTAACTACTCTTGTGATTGTTTGTCTGTTTCTTTCATTTTTTCTGATTACGGAGACATTTTCCTAATTACCATTGTTTTAAATCACTCCTATTATATCTGCATAAAGTCATATTTTATTTCATGCACTCACAGATGTTTATATGTTTTTAAGTTATCTAGAGGAGTTGACAATGCAGGAGAAGCTGGTTCCTCTCTGAATGAATCACGTGGTAGTAACGTTGATAATTTGGAGAGCAATGATGAAAGTGATGATGATGATGGCGAAGACGAAGATGCAACCGGACGTCACAAAGGTGTTAGTCATCTAATTGAAGTTTGCAATCCTAATCATGTGAAAGGTTCAGTTGTGTAAGTCAACCATCCTATATTTAATTAATTAACCTAATCAGTTGAAGGTATTCCTTTTAATTATTGTTGACTACACAGATTCATTGCTATCTCATACATGTTGTCGCTTCATTCATTTAACATCTAGAAAATATAAAATATTCGAGCATATGAATACTATTTGTTTGTGTAATACTTTGAAGCTTAACATTACAAGTGCCTTTCGTAACCCCTTGTGCAAGTCTATATTGGCCAATGAAGGTTTATCATACTAAACTGTTGTGAAGCAACAGTTGCTCTTAACGTTGATGTGAAGGAAGGGCGAATATAGATGTGACATAGCGAGGTATTACTGAATGATTAGCGATCACTAGCATAAAATAATTGTCCAACTGATTATATTCAATTTAGGCCTTTCTCTCGAATCTAAAGTAAAAGTGATAATCAAAAAACTGACAAACAGATCATATCTTGTGCCAGATCGTATCATTTAATCAAATAAGACTTTTGCTTATACGTAATGAGTGCAAATCAAATGATATAAATAGAAACCATATAACTAAAAGTGGTTGTGACTTTAAGAGGCATCTCCACAACCACTTACTTAACCTCGAAAGGTAGTTTTTCATAAATGAAAAAAACCTGGTAGGCTATTTTCAGTAGTTTTTGCGATGGCCTCTGGAGTTATTCCTAAAAATATACAACTGACTTCCTACTGATGTATGCAAAGTTTCTCTCTTGTCTAGTACATCATAAGCTTAAGTAGGTGGAGTGGGGTTTAAACTTTTGGCTCCCTGACCAACGAGTGACATTTCCAGCATCTAGGTAGTTGGGCAAAATTTGGCTGGAATTACAGTGACTAGAAAAGTATCTAAATTCGGGTGGGGTCGAAAATGTCTTTGAAATGACGTTTCATGTGAAAAATGTGTTCATTATCTAGTTAAATAAATGTTTTCTGATTAGTCGAGTCACTAACTGAAAACTTGAATCCCGTCTGACAATCACGGATTCTGTATTTGTGCAAAGTAGTGGAATATGTTGAATACTTCACTTACTTGGGAAACTGCGTCAACCCAAGTGAGTTGGTTGCTAATGAAACGTCAACTAGGATAGAAAACGTCTGTTTGGTACATGCGAACTTGCATCATCTGTGACCCCGACCGGTGAGATATTCGACTGCTTATTAAAGGTTAGTTAGACTGCTCTGCATTTCATTTTGTCCATTTATATGACTGTGAGACATAGCCGTTAAAAATGGAAGACATGAAACGGTTACAAGTTTTTGATCATAGGTATCTTCATAGCATTGCTCGAGCATGGTGCAATCACCATGTGAGCAATGCTGACATCAGGCGAAGGGCAATAGGCAAGTCGGTCGATGAGGTTGTAAACCTTCCTCGACATGCGATGCTAGGATAAGGCTGGAAGAGGGTTCATAATAACCAAACCAAGACATGGAGCAAATGCTTGAAGTCTCAAATTGTTGCTCTGAGTCGTGTAGAGAGGTCTAAATTTCCCGACTTGGATGCTCGAGGCAATAGGAATCAGTAGTTAAGGGCTCTTAGTGAATTGGCTGAAAATTGGTCACAATGAGTCAGATGCATTCACTCATTGACGTCTTCTAAATTCGGAACATTCTCACTGATGTTGATTTTCAAATTTGGTTTTCTTCCGTACACCTTTGTCTACTTTAACATCACTCTTCCTCAACCTACCTGTTCTTTGCATGCCACTGTGTCGTTTAGCAAATTGAACCGATACACTTCTATACTAGGTGGTCCTAGGTTGATTTTGTCTCTGTTTTCACTATCCAGTTTCAGTAACTGATGTCTTCAATTTAAGTCATCAATGATTGGTCGAAGGTCAACTTTCTGATATTTTGTTCTTAAACTGCTGTTTTAGAGTCGAGGTAATTGCTGTCCATTAGAAACAACATTCATGTCATTACTTGTAAGGAAAGGGGAGATTGTTAGCCATTCGAAAAGAGCTCATAGTTTAGAGGCTAAAAAGGCTTTTAGTACCAAAGCTAAGCAGACTGTATCTGTCTCTATGTACATTTAAAAAATCTCATGACAGGACAAAATGGTTGTCACTTACTTTTCCCGGCTTCCATACTTTTTTACGATAAAATTCAAAATCGTGAGTCTATTAGCCGGGAATTTCAAGGTATTTCAAATACAGCTATGTAAAGTTGCACATTCCATTTCAAAATGAGAACTATGTTACAGTCTTTGTTCTAATTCCTTTACATAAAACATTGTGAGACAAATGGCGATGCCTGCGGTAGATTCTGCTTGCAACGATGCAACAGACAGAATCGACGTAGAACTTCGTACATAGGAGTGCATCGGTTCAACTTGTCTTACTTCATAGTAGTATAAAGAGAACAAATGGACAGAATAAGGGTGATATCAAAGTCGACAAAGTTGCGCAGGGGGGTTGATAGGTTAAAGGTAACGGTTAGTGCTAATATTTAAGCTTTGGAAGATGTCAAGAAGTGTATACATTTCCTCCACTGTGACCAACTTTCAACCACTTCGCCAAAAGTCCTCAACCCCTGATTCTTACCGTCTTGGGGATCCGAGATAGGTATTCTACATCTTCAAACACGGTTCAGATTAACAGTTAGGAACTTCATCGACTGATGTCAGGTCTTGCTCTGGCCACCCTGAGCCCTCTTTCAACGTAATCCAGCTTCCCGTAGCATGGTACGTCAAGGTAGGCGGTGACTCAGTATTCACAACACATATCCAAACCACCTCACCCGATGAAGGTTCACGATTTCACCAATCAATTTACCTATCTTGCCTAGGCAAGACTCAGGAAATGATGATAATGGAGCCTCAGCACTGCAATGTATTCAAATGAATATTAGTTATGACAGTGAAGCGCGGAAAAGATCGCGGAGTAAGTATGTTTTCAAGATGGTACTCATCATAGGCTGACATCAGTTGTAGAATCATTGGAAACCTGAAAGCATCGGACAGCTACTTTCTACTAGGTTGGAACTCTCCAGCGGTGCGCATCACCTAGAGATCAATAGATCTACACAAATGCCCGAAATGAAATTAATAAGTGGTTGAGATTAAGATTTACGCCATTATGATCAACTTTAAGTCATCTTACTATGACTTTATCAGTCATTTTGAATTGATAGAAAAGATTTGTAGCTTGATCAACTTGTTCATTGGTTTTTCAAGTCATCAAAGAAAGTAAGAGTATTCTTGTATGTAGAGAAATGACATCGTGACCAATGACTGTTTTTTTGAATACGTATTATTAACATTACAAAAACCGATAGTATACCATTTTCACAATTGTTTCACAGCAGTTTATCTTTTGGATTTAATTCAAACTATTCATTCACCTGTCAGTCCTTCACGAAAAGAGATTGCAGCATCGGCTAAAGCAATAGCAGATCCATTAAAATTACAATCGGAAACAGAATTAGCCATTAATTTGGCACGTCTTCAATTGGTTCGAAAAGAACGTGAATTAGCCGCTCAAAAACTTGAAGAAGAAAAACAAGGTAAATTAGTTTTCTCACTTTTATATCCCTATTGATATGATTATTGTGTTCATAATATTGCTCAGAGTGATAATGAGAAAACAGGTAACGCTAAGAATATAGAAGAGATGCGACCTCTATTGCTATATGGGGTCTTATGCAGATGCCTCAATATTGCCTGAATATTAATTATGGCAATTTGATTGGTTGTAGCTCGTTTCGTCCTGTTTGGGACTCGTCAGTTGGATATACATGCACCCTAGTGAGTGTTATTCCCACTGAGATCCCAGCCTCGTACCCATCGCTTCAAACGCCAAGGCGTTACCCACTAGGCCACTTGAGGCACGACAGCCACTTCCTGTACAACGGGTGTTAGTCATTACTATTCATATGCTTGTAATTCTCCGTTGCTAGCCACAAGCAAGCAAATTACGAAAGACAAATTAATAAAAGAAGTGGATGTTCTTCCTAAAATAGTGGATATCAGTGGTGGTGATCGAGAACAGGGTAGTATAGCATCATGAGCTTCACAAGCGATATTTTAATAAGTACTGCTAAACGTATGCTTCCAGCCTTTTCCGAAAGTATATTGTACTGGTTGTATATCTTCATTTTTAGGAGAGAAACAGAATGTTTGTAACCTAAAGTGATAAGGTTAAAGTTGTTGAATTATCCTCATATGGTGTAATCTATTTTGATGTTTCATTTTGCCATCAATAGGTGAATAAGAACAGTTCAAAATCTATGATATACCTCCTTATTGGAATTAATCCGCTTTTTTCCAATACTTTTTCAAATGAACCCATATCCCCTATTTTTGGAAGAGTTGACATACAATATTGACTTATAAGATTGTTTGCTGTACTTTACAGTCACATGCAAAGAGGTAAATAGGAAAAGATTATTAAAGTAAGTAGAAGCAAGTAAGAAAAGAACCTTCTTCGACTGAAGTAGTTTTTGACATGTACTTCGCAGCCACCACTACCTTGACGTGCTATGCTAGGGGAAGTGGATTCGATTGGAAGAGTTCATTGGGGCCAAACGATGACATGGTACCAGTCGAAGAAGTCTCTTACTGTTTGGTTTGAGCCGTGTTGGGCGTTGTAGACTACCTGGCTGGGGTCTACGAGACGAAGAGTCTTGGTGATAAGGCTGAAAATCTATCATAATGACCCAGATGTATTCACTCAATGACGTCTTATAAAGCTTGAATATTTACACTAACCGTTATCTTTAGATTGTTTATTGTCCCACACAACTTTGACATTACTCTTATTCTACTCACCTTTTCTTTGTATACTAATGTAAAGTGTGTCAAGTTGAACCAATGCACTTGTGTAAAAGATTTCTCGTTGATTTTGTCTGTCTATATTGGTAAAAAATAATATAAGTAGTCAACTTCTTTCTCAGCTAACGTTATACACTTCCGAGTAAAACTTTAGAGTTATATTGTTTTAAACAGGCTGAGATTTGTAGAAATATAAAGTTCAACTTCTGTTTTCTTATGAATTTCATCCGAGAAAGCCTGGAGTTCCATCCACCGCAATTAGTTGGTAGAGTCATAGGCAGTTAATGAAAGTTCACAACCTTACTAACTAGTTCGTCTCCTTTAGACATTACTTTGTGTTTAGTGTTTACATTGCTGACTAAAAGCCTACCAGATATCAGTGATTCTTTGGACACCTCATGAATTATTCAGTAAGAAGTATATCACTTCATAAAGTATACTTTTACCTACACTGCAGTTATATATTACTCGAATAAATTCGAAATCTACAGATTAGCCTGAGTTGTCTCTGACTACTCAAATTGTTCAGTAGCAGTAGTGTCTTTCACTGGTTAGTTCATGACACTGAGTGGTTTTCAGAGGAAACCTTGTTGACATCAGTTAAAAAAAACCCACTCGGCTTTGAGAAATGTCAACGTAGACCGCGCAATTTGCCAATAGATCATCCCATCGTAGGTATCCCGATCTATGCAAGTCAGATTCAGGTGATCTGGAGTAATTCGGATGTGAGCTGAATTTCTCTTGGTACACTGTTGATGAACTTGGCCCCAAACGAGCGAAACGGCTATTTGGTGTTTAGATCACTATGATCCAGCCGTCTAGCAAAATACTACAGATCACCCCGAGTGATTTCTCACTACTCAAGTTGTTCAGTAGTAATAGTACCTTTCGCTAATTCGAGACTCACTATAAATATCTGATTGCTATTGCATTTTTTGTATATTCCGGTCTTAACATGGTGTTTATTACTATCCTTAGCTCGTGAAGCACAACGTGCAGCTGCTGCTCAACGTGCTGCTGAAGCAAAAGCTCAGTTAGCTAAACAACAAAAAGCCGGACGTAGTGCAGGTAAACAGGCTATATCTTCAGCAAAGAGTAAACAGACAGTAACAAGTAAGGACAGTAATACAACTGTACCGACAAAAAGTGGGTCATCAGTTGATTAGTTTCAATGAACTTGACAGTTTCTTCTCATTTTTATTGTATATCTGCATTGGAATAACTTATGTACATTCATTATACATTTATGTACACAAACTTGATCTGATGCATTCAAACATGAAGTTGATTGTTACATTTCAAATTTTCAGGTTCTTTTTGTAATCAAAACTGATTGTTTCATTATATTGAATTACATTTCCTCAAAAAAGGGAAGTATGCTGTGACAACTATTTATTTAAGAGTTCAACTTGTCCTTCTGTTGTTTACTAATTATGTCATCTTACCCATTAATCAATATAAAACGTTTCATATTGCTACAAACGTACAACATTCGTGTTATTCGACTATACGTATTTTTCCCTGGAATCATGAGTTTTTTGCTACTTAAACTCTAATGGGAGGTAAAAAGGTTTTTGAGCAAAATATCTTTATACTTCAGGTTGGATCATGGACTAACAGCGGTTTCGTCCCAATATGGGGTTCCTCAGCAGTGCGCACCCATGACCCCGCCAGGGATCAAATGCACGACCTTCAGGTGCTGATCAGTTCTCGAAGTTAATTTTTCTCCCCTCCAACTTACATTATTTCACATATAATTTGTATTAAATACGGCTTAAGCCGACTGGGATATTTATAGAAAATGGTGACTATAATGTTACCGCTTGTATTATCCATTATTAGCATATAATTGAAACACAGACAATATCCAGGTGTCAGCACAGGAGCCTATATGCCAATAGAAATCGATCTGTTGTGACCGAGTGGTGTTGCGCGCGTGGTGTAATGAATACTGAGACTCAATAGACACACCTCAACCGAATACCTTTACGACTGACCTCCCTCAGTACTTTCTGCTTCACTGAGCCGCAAAGAAATCCGAAGACAAAGACAGCCTGTGACCGCAAGAACAGCGACAACTTTTTATTAGGCAAATACATGACATATATGTATTTACAAACTCTCAGAAAGTGAAGCCATAAATGAACCAATCCGATTTCTTGTATGAGGTCGAACTTCTCCAATCAGGTTCTCATATCAGTGCATGCACAAATCACGACCTGAACATGATCTGATCATGACTTGAAAACAACTCCCCTATTGGCTGCCTTTTGTCGCTACGTATCACGATCAACTCGGTAGAATCAGAGACAGGATAACACAAGCAGCAACGTTAAGAATCATACCCATCGAGCAAGAAGTGGCTCAGCGGTTTGGTGGATAACGCTCTATTGTTCGTAGCGATCGCTCCCAAGTTCGAGTACTAGTGGAGACAACACTACTCACTGAGAGGCAGGTACATCCCAAATAAGACGAAACGTGCGTCCTGGATTCCGCCGCTAGTCAGTATCCATCATCAATAAATGATTATATTTTCTTGTCCGATGTAGTAGTCAGATTTAAAATAAGCAAGTGATGTTGGTTAGGACATCCGCTCGAATGTTATTGTTCATTCGAAGGCAAGCACTTATTTCCAGAGAACGTTATGCAGTTTGATCTGTAAAATCAACGGAATGTGATAAAAACTATCTGATTAGCATCCGTACGAATATTGTAGCAGCATACCTTCTTGCTTTACGGGACCCCCCCCCCCCCAGTTCTGACTGGTGTTGGTTGGAGGTGATCCGCAGTACGTCCTAAACTCACGTTCCATGCCTGTTCGCACTCGTCAGTAAGGCGTATCTGTGGCTTCGAGGGGATTGATGTCCTCTCTGATATTCGAATCTGCGTCATCCAGTATTCCAGTTAGCGACGTTACCAATGAGCCATTGACTGACCTCAGAATAATCATGAAGACAACAGTCTGCTGTTCACTGTCAGTTTTATATACTCCTGCCATAAAGTCTTCTGTTTGAAGTGGAACTGTAGCTCAGTGGTTTAGGCAGTTGACTGTAAACTAGTGGATCACGAGTTCAAACACCTCAGTCTACCAGGGTTTAGGCAGCCAGATAGTTTCATTAGACTTCACACAACAGGTATGACTCACTGTCTACTGCACAAGTGTTCAGTGCCTTTTGTTTTCATCTTCAAGTTCTTGTGGAACCGATACAAACAATTTGAGCCCCAGTCTATCTTCTAAAACGTCTGTGAACTACAGGTTTAATCTCCTATGGTCTGCGAATTGTGTTGGATTGAATATGCCTCACAAAAATTGGCAATTTGAATATAGATATAAGCACATAAGATCGGAGATCATTCGCTGTGAAGTAACCAGTTGGGTGAATTTCTCCATAAACGTATAGTGGGTGAGTTTAGTTACTCCAATCCACTATAACATTATTCATAAGGGAGCTGCCAGTAACTGTTTACTGGGCGCAATACTGATACATTAAAGTCGAAAAAAAATGACCTGATACCTATTTAGATGAGTAGTGCAGATTAAATGATAACAGAAAGTAGGTTAACCATCGGTGTCACGTTTCGAATAAGGCGTATAGCTTTTTTCTATTCGTTATTTGGTCATAATCACAACGTTGAAAAATAAACAGTAATACCTACTTAATTGTGTAGAAAACAATGAAACGCTTCACCTTTGCCTGATGGGCTCTTTTTGACAACTGATTTATTGTGCTCCCAGTCTTTTTTCCCGTAACAACTAGCTTAACTGCTTGAAATTCGACACATATCAGAAATCTACTTCTAACACTGGTACGGATAACTAAAGGATACATCCACCGCCGTTGAAAGACAATAAATGATCTAGTAAACCTTCATTACTCATGTAAAATTAGAACTTTATTTTTAAATAAGAGACTGGATTCTTTTATAATCTGGTCAGATGCCACTTCGTGATGGTTGCATAATTTTCTCGATAAATGGAAAAGGTGGTGATATAACGGAAGGCCTTGACTATCTATTTCCAGGCCTTTCTAGATTTAAATCTTGTTATATTTTCGTCTCTTCAATCAATCTGATATTCATAAGTTGATTCACGTACTTCCTTCTGAAACTTTTGGACAAAACGATTGGTTTTAGCAAGCTTCAAGGATTTACGGCTTCTTACTAAGATCATGACAAGGTTATTTTACACTATGACAGATTCAAGTTACTTTATGAATATCGGGTCAAGGAGAGTTCTTACTTTACGTGGCAAGGTCTCTACTAATAGGGATGACCACATACGGTTACTAATGAAAGGAAGTAAAAATATGTCATTTCTGCAACAACAAATGCAATAGTTCACACCTCCTACTACACTTAACTAAACACACATTCTCACTGAGCATACACTTTTCCCCATATGCATCATAAGAAGCACCCATTGCTTATGTATTAAGATTCACACAGAAACTGGATGTATGATGAAGAAATACACATTTACAGAAAGCTTTTGTACAACATGGAAAGAAACAATGTACATAATTCAGAATAGCTACTGAGCGCTTCCTCAGTCACATCTAGTTGTTTTTCTGCTGCGAGGGATAGACAGGCTGGAGACACGTAGACGACAGAATGACAAACTGAAAAAAAAGGAAATAAATATCTCTACTCAATTTTGAAGGACAAAGTTATCAAAATGAATGATGGCCATACTATCCTCTCAACACCTAGATAGACGAACTAAGCTGACAGGGATTGATTTACAGGTGTTCATGAAAGTGTACTGATTGGGTTAGAAAAAGAGTCTAGAAATAATTTCTCTTAGAAATAGATGTCGAGTCCATCGTTGTGTGTTTATTCACCAGTCTATGTACAACATCTATTGTGAGGGGTTAAATCAATACCCGGTTACCTAGACAGTAATAAGAGAAGCGGGTTTTTGGAGGCTGAACTCTGCTCGAAAGTTGACTGCTTAAAATCGGTCAATAACACTTTCACAGTGTTAACATTCCTGACCGATAGCTGATACCTTGACGTGTTGGTCACGCTTGCATATTATAATGACCCAACGAACTATGCTGGTGGGACACTTGTTCCCTCGAGGTCCTATCAGACCAGAAAGGTCTGTTGGATAGTGGTTAGACAAAAAGCAGTTACCATTGTGGTGTAAATTACTATACTATGATGAGGGTCTGAGGGCGAAGTCGTACTGCTGCTAGCTGGATGGCATGTGACAGTAGTAAGGTGTTTCCCAGCAGTGCTGTGCCGATACTGCCTTCTCAATGGGAAGGGGCTAGAAAAGGTCGGACCCCCCCCCTAAGAAAAACACGGTCTACCGGGCCGGCGGTGTTGGTTCGTTCGTCGTTTCTTTTTCGACCATCCAGTCCCAAAAGAAGCATACACAAAAGGCTGAGTGTGACAGGCTTTGTGATCATCTCTTTCAGGCACCTCAAGAAGAAATAGCCTACCAAGATGTGGGCAGCCGGGAAGTGTCAACCGCCCCTCACAACTTTGTCAGCACTCAAGGATGGATGTTAACATTCATCAACGAGAAATACTAACTAACTATACATAACGGAACTCATGAAAATTAGAAATTAATCAGTAGTACTACAAGCTATTTACAGAAACTAGGGATTTACCGTATTAGAGAGATAATCATACAAAATGCATTCAAGAAACTTTCGTTACTATTTAAAGACATTACAGGGGAAAATTGCAACGCAGTCATTACTAGATTCGATTCCAAGCCACATTTCCTTAAAGACTTATCAGAAAATGAAGACGTACAGCAGCGTGTCATAAACTGAAAGTTTCTTGTAACCCATCATCGTGTCAGCAAGTAGTGATCTATATGCAACCTGTTAACATGGTACACATCAAACGAATTCAAAATAATGCCTGTGTACTGTAAAGTGAATTTGCTTGATGACTGACTGGTCGTCTCTATCATACCTGTATGACTTCGAAACTACTTCTACACTGTGTCGACAGAGGTAATCTACCACGAAAACTTGCTAAACCCCCTAAGTTTAACCATACCATCTCTTGCAGATAGAGAAGAACTGACTGCATAGACTAATAAGGTGAAATCTTCATGGGTGCACCAGACAGCTTTGGCTCTTGTTGAACAACAGAATTTATAGTAAGAAAAACAAACATGTTCTTGAAGGTAAATATCTCTGAGTTTCACTGAATTCTGGTTTTATTGTGAAGAAAATTGTTTGTATTTATTACCGTCTTATAGTTAAATGATCCTCCTGATGATGACACTGATACACGGCATCAATATCCGTGAAAAAACACTGTAAGTATAGGCTGAAGCGTACTTATATTCAAAGAGATCTATATCTCAAGAAATAACCTATAATCACTGTTTATTATAATAACAATCTATGCAGATATGGCTGATTGGATTACGCCAACTCTGTGCTAGTCATAAGTTCAGACTATGATCCACTACTTCAGTGATAACATCAGCTAACCAGGTATCATAACTAATCATGGATGTAGCTCAGTTTCCAGTATTTAAATCTACAGATAGTTGGTGAGTGATAATTTACTGAAATTATTACCTACACCACAAATCATTCATCAAATGGGGCTATGAAGTTAAGTAAGGTGTTTGTAATAAGCTCATAAGAGACATATTTCTCATACTTAATCTGGTAGCTATCACCAAGGTGTGTCTAAAACGTTGACTTGGTGATAAAGTTTGTAACTGTGTCTAGTATACGGTTGTGAGACATGGTTGTTAAAAGTATGAGATATGAAGCGGTTACAGGGTTTTTGGATCACAGGGGTCTTCGTAAAACTGTCCATGTTTAGCGGAATTACTGTGTGAACAATGTTGAGGTCAGTCGAAGGATACTAGGTAAGTCGATTGATGAGGTTGTGAACCTTCATTGGATCAGTTAGCTTGGACATGTGTCGTGCAGGTCGAGCAACTGCCTATTTCGATGTGCAATAAGTAGGGGAAGTTGGATTAGATTGGAAGAGGGTTCAGGGTGACCAGACCAAGATATGGCACAAGTGCATAAAGTCTTTTACAGCAGATGTAGACTCCCGGGCTAAAGTCACCGAGATGAAAGGAATCAGTGGTTGAAAGTTGGTCACAATGGCGATGTATATACACTCTTTGACATCTTCCACTTCTTCACATCAACTGTCATCTTCAAATTGTTTATTCTCTCACACTACTTTGATATAACTCTTTTTTGTAACCACCTGTTCTTTGTGTACTACTGTGGTGTGTGGCAACTTGAACTGATATACTTGTGCCCAAGTTTCTACACTGATTTTGTCTGTCTGTCAGTCACTGTCTTTTAACTTTATCACAGTCAGTTATGTATGCAACCACTGACACATCAGTCAATAAGTGGTTAACAACATAAATGTCAAATTCCAAAGTGTTGATCAGAGTTTACTGAACAAGCAGCTTGTTATAACCGTTACACCATGTGAATTATAAGCTTAAGATACAGATTGATGAGTTGAATTCATCTCACCTTAATCTCATAAATATTACAGAATAATAAGTCAATAGACCAGCTATAAAGATGAATGCTGACAGAAATTTTTGAAATGTCGAAGTTTTAACCTGAAAGAAAAAGTCAAAAATATTGATATAAAAAACAAACAAAGTTATATAGGCAATGAAAAACTTTAACATACTACTGATAATTATTGTAAATGGAAGTTATATTAATGAGTAACGTTCCCTATAATTTGGTAATATACTTATTGCATAACAGAGATAACGTATACATAGATGAACACTACTCAGTGAGCAGGTGACAAGATAATTTTACTACATGTACATGACTGCTGGAAGGTCTCAAGATTTTCTCCGAAAACACAGGGTTTATTATTCTAAACATTTTTAAACTGTCATCTTCCCGCCATTTTTACGTCATGATCAGTAGTCCATCCCATCCCACCCCCCATTTTCAAGGTAATTCCCTGATTGGTTAATGCCGGCTTTTGTTATGTTACTGTTTTAAATTCTGAACAAGGTCATATATATATATATATATATATATATATATATATATATATATATATATATATACACCGCTTTTTCTCGCAGGTAATAAACTCTCCCATTTAGTCCAGTCTTCTCTACTTCGTCCGGGCTTGGAGTTGGTAGATCTGACGTTCACAGTTAGCTAGCTGTCAGTGAAGTGTGCATGTTATATCCGCTCGGAAACATAACAATGACGCTTATAAAAAAACTATTACTCGTTAAAAATCGGAATAAAAGAATATAGGTAATAACTATCAAAATAATCATAATAATGTTACTAGTGATGGATGGTACGAACAATAAAAACACCATTAGAATATGGTTAATTCATTTAACAACCGAAGCAGATAGAAGTAGTGTAAGGAAATAAAGTTAATATTCTATGTTTAAACAAATAAAAATGAGTATATGAAAGGTGGAAGAACAAACAAAGGTCGAACTGTTGTAGAATCTTGAATTCATTTTTCTTCGGTCAAAAATGCTGCACACGCTACAGTTATTCGTTTAAACTCCTTTAGCTTCAATGGCATATAAAAGATAATCTCGAAGGTTTTATTCATATACAAAAAATGTAGCTAGTTGTTACTATTTATTGATAAACTTGTAACTCTCCGTTGTTTCATTGGATCGAATTGTTCGACCTCTATTGGCATATTGGCTCCTGTGCGCATGCCTCCATATTGCCTGAATGGTAATTACGATAATTTGCTTGGTTGTGGACAGCAGAGAAATTTAGTACGCTCATTTCGTCTCATTTGTGACTCGTCAGCTGGATGTACCTGCACCCAAATCAGCAATGTTGTTCGCACTGAGATTCGAACCTCGTACCCATCGGTTCAAACGCCAAAGTGTCATTTACTAGGCCACTTGAGGCACAATAGCCACCTCTTTCACAGTGGATGTCAGTTATTACTATTTGTCGATACAATTGTAGTTCTCCGTCGAATAATTCAATCCAGTAAAACAAAGGAGAACTACAAGTATATCAACAAATAGTAATTTATGAGCTTGCTTTACGTTGAATAATTGTTGGTCTATGTTCTCATAAATATAAATATGCCACTCAATCTCTTAGCTAAAATTGCCTTACTTGAGTATTTGAGCCATGTGGGGGGGGGGGAATGTAGACTAGGTGGTTGTGGTCCGTGGGACAAGAGGATTGGGGACTCCAGGTGATATGGCTCAGAACCGATGTCAGTGGCGCTATACCGAACTCACCACTTTCTCATTCTTCGTTTCTCTCTCCTCGTACTTTATATTTCTTTCAACTGAATTCTCTTATCTTCATCTTGTACCTCACTACCTTTTTTACTTGATGTACACTGATATGAAGTATGACAACTCGGACCGTTACGCAGTAATGCCTGGTCCTAGGTTGATCGAGACGGATGAGTATTTATAGTTCACAGTACCGGGGAATGTTTTATATATATATATATATATATATATATATATATATATATATATATATATATATATATATATATATATATATATAGCTTTATTTGACTTATATAAGCAATTAGAAGTGTTTTAGGGATAACAATAGTGAAATGAAGAAAACAGCAACAGGAATTGAATAATAGTTCCTTCAAAATCTAGAATACATATACTATACGTAGAAACTGCCTTTAGCATTAGGCTATAGTAGTTCACCGATGCTTAGTGTAATTCCCGCCAAAACAATTTCACCAGTACAATATCAGTATTGTTTCCTACAAAAGGTGTCATCGCTTCGCAACAAAATGGTGCTATGGCCTCATGTGTTCAAGGTACGGATGACTTCTTGGCAGACTTCGATGCCATTGTGGAGCTGGTGGACATCTATAACCCGAAAGCTGTATACACACACTACACTTATTTCCACACCAGAAATTTATCTCTGGAGTCACACTGATCACCCCACAACTGCCTTCTCTACATCCAACCCGAACAATTGGTGTAACTGTATCAATCTCTCAAGCTGGCTAGCATTCACGCGTTTCTGTTTGTCACTTTTATCCTTGTCGTGCAAACGGCGTCATGCCTCTCAGTGTCTAAGTACGGTCCCTCTTACTTCGGCAGCAGCTATCCTGATTCTAGCCCGCCCCTTGTGGTATACCTTAGTTCTTCACACTTCACTTGGTTCAGAGTTTTGGATGGATTCCATTGCTTACCTTTTCTCGCCACTGAATTCTCAGTATCTACCTTTCGCCTATCTTTTTCATTTGTGATAGCTTGTTTCGGCTCAATTATCGAGTGTCATACTCTGTCGCTGCAGCCAGGATCACCGTTCATTAATTGTTGTGATACCCCAGTTTTGTATAAAACATTGTTATTGATCTGATCATTTTAACGTGTCATCACACCATTTTTTACGGTATGACTACTAGTCTTTTTTCTGCCCCCATTGTAATGTAAGTCGCTAATTGATCAATCTTTACTCTTACTATGCAATTACCTCAAATTGAGGACAAGGTCATTTTTCATGTGTATACTTATTCACGTGTTTTGGATTGAACTATTACATTATATTCTCGGAGTAATACACTATCCCATCTGCCAGCTTCAGTCTTCTCTCTATTCGTCCCGGAGTGGCAGTCACTGGATCTTGCGTGCCAAGTTAGCTGTCAGCTAAGCGTGCGTACTATATTCGTTCCGGAATATATATACATAACTAGTAGCCTTCGAAACCATAACATTAACTGTGGAAATAAATTTATCGACAGTTCCGTCTTCTGTTACTATCACTTGAAGTCAAGCATTCATGGAGTATTGTACGTTTATTATTTCCTACCAAACTAATTATCTTCATAACCAGCTGTTCTAGGTGAGATTTGAATTCATCACTCTAAAAATAGAAGCCCCAACTGCCACTATGATCTTCGGTACCCCACTACCTGCTTCATTTCGCATCACCGCCTCAGCCATTGTCTTCTTCCGTCGGTTTGCAATTTACATGGCGTCTACTCGACGTGTATCGTGCTATATCATCACTAGCACGTATTGTTTGGTTTTAGTTGTTCGTGGAAACGGGCCGCATAACATTTAATTACCATAATTCACCAACTCCTGTTACTGGGTTCGACTGCAATGACATCCGTGTGCACTCACCACCTTTGGCCACCAGACACTGAGGACAGGGAAGCAATTATTTGGTAACATCATCATCATCATCATCATACCTGGCCGGTATGCAATTTAGTGCCATACTTGCATAAACTACCTAGGAACGGTCGTGAATTACATCAAAGCATAGCTGTATCAGAATCACCTTGTCATTATCACATCACATTCGAGCTACGAAAAACATTCAGCGTTATTCAATTCTTCAGCAGAAAAAAGGACTTCACTCCTCACCTAAGAAACACCTGTCAACATATTTCTCTTTACTTATCAATCGGATTAATGCGTGGAACTTAGGATCGAACGTCGTATGATAGACAAAGTGCCAGTAGATATTGCTGCACGGCACTGCACATAATCGCAGTCTCTAGCAGTTCAGCAACTAAGTTCAGTGTACAAAGAATTCCCCATTTATCAGAGTGACTACCTGAGATACTTGTAGTTTTGTTAACTTATATCACGGGTACTGATTGAAGGTGAAATGAAAATCCAGGTCGCGGCAGGATTCGAACCAACAACCACCGGGCTGTCGACTTGATGCTTTACTGAGACACGAGACCCAGCTGCGGACCAGATCTTAATTTTGCTTCAATCACCAAGGGTTTTTCCCAGCTGACATATGAATTTATGATGGATTGTTATCGCTTTGTCATATTCGTGTTGGCGTTCCAGCCAGATCTTCTCATATAAATCGAGCTGAGTTAAAGAGGGTGAGTATCATACTGATTATCAGAATGACCATCTGAGTTAACCATTGTTTGGCAGACTGGTAGTGATCCTGAATCGTGGTCAAAGGTAAAATAAAAGTCTAGGCCACAGCAGAGTTCGAACCCGCGGCCTCTAGGTAACCGGCTCTATTCGTCCTTGCTAGAACCCATCCAATGGTGGAATTAAAGAACCTAAAATGTGCTATAAAACCTCACAACTTCTCAAAGAAATCTCTTGCTTTTTTCTTCACTTTAGGGATTGCTGACCAGTCTCAATATGGAATCGATGGTCGGGCAGGTAAGGTAGTGTAGTGCCCGAACAACAACTAAACATCGCTTCTCAACTGTAGGATGATATTGTTCCGCAGGTACCATTACATGCCTCGTAAACGCCACAACTTTGGTCAACTGTTTTGAGTGGCACCTGTGCCATAACCACTAGCATATGTGGTAACTGTGAAATGTTTCTCGAGTACCTGCAGTCAAAGCGTCATCTTCCGGGCAACAAAAAGTTCTTCAGCGCTGTTAAATGTCGTTCTGTGTTGCCTCTGTTGATACAAACTTCTTACTACTTAGTAATTTATACTGCGTACTGGTGTCTTGTTGAAGTTTTATTAAACCAGTCGTAGAACACTGCTCTTCCTAAAAACTATCTCAGTTTCCTTTCCAAATTGGGTGCTGCAATGTCTTTTGTGATTAGAATTCTCTAGCATAGTGGCTTTATTCATCGCTTACCTACTTGATAACCCAACAGCATGACACTGCTTTCAGCCATCTACGAATTATTCTAGCCAATTCGTAGTTCAAACTGATTCGCTTTAGTACAGCCTTCGAGCGCTCTACATAATTAGTTACCGTATAACTGTACTCAAATATATCGTTTTCATTAACCTTCATGTTCTTCGCGTTATATATTCCGGGTGGATACAATACACACGCTTAACTGACAGCTAAATTTGTACGCAAGAGCCACCGACTGCAACCTGGGAAGAATAGAGAAGATGGCCGAAGTTGGATGAGAAAGTTATCCCTTCGAGAATAATAATCAATTAATTAATTCAAAAACACGTGACCATGTCTACAGTATGAGATATGACCTTGTCCACAAATTTAGACATCAGCGTAGTAAAAATAAGCATTAACCAATCAGCGAATTACCTTGAAAATGGGGGCAGGGTATGAACTATTAGTCATTCTGTAAATAAAGTAGCGTGAAAACGAGTTTTAAATGTTTAGATCGATAACGTTTCATGCAAACAAGTGACCTTACAACACAATGAATGATGATAATAATACACACAACCCTATAGGATATTAGGCTTACGAAAACATGTAATGCTTCACCCAATTGTGTTGTAATTCATTTACTATTCACTTGATCCTACCTTTGTCAATTCAAGGCTATCATATCATGTTTTATCTATGGTTTTGCGTCCTTACATTCAACTTTTCAGTCTTAACAATATCAAAACACTCACCGCGAATAACCCTTTTCGAAACTAATACAGATTAGTTGACAGTAACACTCATTGTATTGAAAGTATGCTCAGTTGATCAGTTTTACAGCAAATTAAAAGTGTAAATCAAGATATTAATTTCACCCATAATGATTATGGTAAGATGACTGTAGCTACCGGTCTTCAGGTTCAAATAGTGTCACGATCAAGGTTTTCTTCAATTGTTAACCGTTATTCTGTCTATCAGATTTAAGATAATGTCAGAAACCCTAGTGAATGAAATATCTGTTTACTTATTATCAGCTCACCAACAACCATTCATAGTAACTTACATGTGAGTCTGGTAAAAGCCAATAACGATCACACGATAAATGATCACATAGTGTACTCTGAAGCAGTTCTTTTATTGTTGAACATTCAGACAATAAGTGAGTTATAATGCATAAAAGAGACAAAACAATAGCATGAATACTTATAAAATCAATGATAAAAAATGTGCAAAAAAAATTGCTTCAGATGTTCATCATTACCTTTCATAGACATCTAGATACATGTACACATCAATACACGTTAATGATTCTCCTCAGTGTAAAAATTCATCATGTGTATATTTGTGTTTTAGTGCACTTGGCAATCAGCAATGCAATTCAAGATGCGTATTTCGTCACATTTAGGACTCGTCAGCCGGACGTACATGCACCTTAGTGAGTGATGTTGTTCCCACTAAGACTCAATCCAAGTACCCATCACTTTGAACACTAAAGGGCTATCCACTGAGGAACGACCTATTGTGAAACAAATATCAGTTGCTGCTTAATGGTACTTGTAATCTGCCAGTGCTATATTGCATCCAATTGCTCAACCTCTATATACCTTTAGACAATTGTGTTATCCAACCTAACTTAATTATAGACAAGATTGTATGACTTTGGAAATCATTTCAGAGAGAATTTTCGGGAGGATCGAAAAAGTGTGCTGTCCTTAAGTGGTCTCGAACTGTCCATCATGGCCACCGAACCAATAAATATTTAGGTAATATCATTGAAGTTGCTATTCACCATAGACTGATATCAGTTGGAGGAACATTGGAAAGCTGGGAGCACTAGATAGCCGTCTCGTCCTATTATAGGACTCCTTAACAGTGCGCACCTATGACCCCACCTCGCCAGGGATCGAATCCAGGACCTTCAGGTCCCCTGGCCAGCACGTTACCATTGAGCTAGCCACTGGGTCGGAATCCAATGGCCTATATTTCCCACTTGTGTCAGTTCACGATATAGCGCGAGTTGAGTATTTGTTCTGACGACCACGAGGTTTACCCTACCGATCACGACTTCTCAATGGAACTTCAGGAATCACCTCTCGAAGCAAGTCACTAAGCACTAGATCAATTGAATTTGAGGGTTTGTGGGGATTTTATAGCCATGAGGAGAAATACTCAACGGTGACATTGGGTGACAGTCACGCTATGTCGCAAACTGATAGAAGCTGGAAATACGGACCATTGGATTCCGACCCAATAACTAGACCAATGGTAACGTGCTGGTCACGAAACCTGAAGGCCCTGACAAGGTGGGGTCATGGGTGCGCACTGTTAAGGAGTCTCATAATAGGACGAGACGGCTATCCAGTGCTTCAAGTTTCCAATGTTTCTCTAACTGATGTCAATCCATGATCAGTACAAACTTCAAAAAATATCACCAAATCCCTACACACCCCCAAATTCAATATTATCCAAGTATACATTTGCCAAAAGATGAAGAGATCAAATTTTGACAAGCCTGTAACTCTTTCTTGCCGGAATGGAGAACTAATAATTTATCACGCTTTATTAGTAAGTCAATGACCTTGATTTCAACTGCATAACATTTAATTTCCATTGTATTAAAAGTCCTCTCTCAAGGTCACAAAATAAAGAAGGGAAACAACGGGTGATTTCTTCACTGCTGGAGCTCGAAATCGAACTTATTCTTTAGTATTTTGCAATTTTATGATCTAATTCGTAATTACTAAACCCTAGAAACTTAAATTCAACTTTCAAACCCTACTACCTAAAAGTTATTTCTTTATAACTGCTAACTTTTTGACGAATATGATAACCATAAATTAACAGTAATTAAGAGACAGTTTTCATTTTTCACTACAATATGCCTAAATCTTTTTTTTCAAAGAAAACAAACAAACATTATTTTATGTACAATAGCAACAACATGAATTCATGAAGCTTTAGCCTGTCAAAATTCACAAATAACACACTCGATTCTGATTGGTTATTTCAAGGACAATATCATTTCTCGATCCTACCAAATTGTATTTATTTATATCTTTGCCCTATATCTCAATGAAAATTATGATTTTGGATAAATAAAAGTTTGATAAATATATCATTTAAAAAAATTTTGCACAAAGAAACCTGCTACTACTATACATTAACAATTGAGAAAAAAAAACAACACAATTACACACTTACGACGTAGTTGAATGTGATTACTATCATTCCCTGGAGCACATATATTCAGTATATCCTGGTTGAGATGTTAGTTATACAGAAGGGGGAAAAAAGCCAAAAATAAAATAAAACTCAACAACAATAAGCAGATCCTAAAAACTGAACACCTATTATGTATGAAGGCTAGGCAATGTTACCTGGTGATAAAAACCTTAGGTAAGGTTTTGACTGGAAATCCACTGGTTAAAAATCAACTTTACAACAGAGAATAAATAAGAAAAGACACAAAAATGATATCCTTACAGTATTTATCACATAGAAACTCGAAAACAAAAACCATATGTTCCCCAACATATATCTGGATAACTGTGTTATATACAAACATGGTCATATTTTCTATTCATGTAACACCCTGGCTAGGCAATTAAATGAAATAGTGTGGAATTGATTTTCATATATGTGAAATATTTGAGGAAATAGAAGAAAATCGATTCAATGTTTCGTAACGAGCAATGTGAACATTTCATCCCCTTCCAAAGCCTTCTCTAGTGTTGTAACAGCCAGTCTACTTGGGCTTGAGTTGGCAGAAAACGTCTCAACTAACGATGACGTAACTATGAAAAGCGGATTGCCTGGGTTACTGCGTCAAGTTGCTTCTGATATTAGTGAAAGGTAGTACTAGTGAACCGATAAGGCTGTTAAGTAGTTCTCTCGTCAGCCATATCACAGTGGTCTAAACACTGGATGCCCGTCTCACACGTTTGGAACCAAGCTCATCAGCGGTATGCCTGGAGATCACCACCTCATAGGGTTGAACTACTCCAGATCACCTCAATCTGACTAGCTGACTTGCCTGGACCGGCATACTAATTTATTAGAACACAGACATGGTACAGCCAGGACACCAAGAAATGCACCACACAGAATAATATAACAACATTATAAAGACATACAGCAAAGAGAAATGGATAAGTTAAAAAGATCAGAAAGACAGTCCAGTAAGGTTCATTCAGAACAAAACATTCACTGCTTTTTAGCAGCAGAAGACAGAAGGAAGCTACAGCGTAACCGCCACTGGTTCCGATTCCGAGCCATATATGATAACATCTCAAGCCATTGAGTTGCGTGATCTTTCGGACCCCACCCAGACAGTCGTGATGCATCAACAGATGCTAAGTCGATGCAACTATCCTTCATCCCATGGCGCCATGTCATACACTGACCACCACCACCACTCCACTTCTTCAATCTATTACCAGGGTTAGCAAACAATGGAAGCCGTTGGGACAACATGCATAACACGTGTCCAAGTCGCTGAAGCAAATGTTTTCTGATAACTTCACTTATTGAAAGACGATCTCTATCATGCCCAAATACACGCTGTCGCACCTCAAGATTACTCACATAGTATTACCACTGTATACGAGCAATCCAACGGAGAAAATGATGACCTGATCTCAGTTTGTAGGGGCCAGGTTTCACAAGAGTAGAGTAGATCCGCTTACACTGAAGCGTTGTAAACCCAACCTTTTACGGTCAGACTAACGTCGCAACGGCCCCGAAGGTGGCACAGATTGACGTATGCCACTCTGGCTTTCAATATGCGGTTGGAAATTTCATCACTCACACCTGCACTAACACACACAACTACCTAGATACACGAAGTTTTCAACTACTTCAACGGCTCACCACCGTGGGTTAGCGCAAGATTGCTTTGAACTTAAATGGTGCAAAGCACATACAATACTTGCAGACACTAATTGCTAACTGATTAAGTGCAACTTGGGTAGTCTGTGTTAGTTATCCCACCGTAAGACGATATTGTCAGCATATATAAGGTCGACTAGCCGTTCCCTACACTACCATGACGCACTTCCCTCGGAGCTGTCTCAAGAATGTCATCGATGGCAAAGTTAAAAAGGAATGAGCAAATCAGGCAATCGCCTAACCCCACTTTTTTATTTCTAGTTAACCTTTAATTGAGATTTCGCCTGGAAACATTATGATTAAATAGCTATCTGTTATTCACAGGATAACTCTTATTAAGCTACTGAATATTTCTAAAGGCAATGCTATGAGTAATGTTGCTGAAAATGTTGGTCTCACTTCTCCAATGATATATCTTTACCCTGTTTAAAGTCTGTGAAACGGTGAATGTGAATGGAAACATTATGTGAAGACATTGCCTGATACGAATCAACTTCAATCACCGTTTGTCTAATCAACAGTGAATGGTTGTCTACTGTTTTTCTCAGGCTACTCAGTGATTGCTTATACGAATTAGCTGAGGCTAATAATAATGTAACACTATACAAATCCTAGTTATTCTCCACAGTGTGTGAGAGTCATTAGCGTGCTCTTGGGATGCACAGGTGTATTCTGAAGAGAAATTTCATTCTTATACCATCCGATTTTCGCTTAGCCCACTATTGACACAGTATTCTATTAACGAAGCACACTTCTATATTGGCCAGATTAACAGATGGTGTTAGTCTACAAAGCCTTCAAACGTTGGTTTGTGCTCTGTCAAGAAACAGCTAACTTTCTGGTAGCTATGTGTGAAACAGTTGAAATGAATCAGTGTCTTTTTCTAAATCGTAGTAGTGCAGAAAATAGGTTTATTCGCCTTAGATAACCTTTTCCATGAGTTTTTACGACTGTTGATGGATTGATTCTCATAGTTCTTTGTCTACACCTGAACTTTGATGTTCTGTTGTTCCGTTACGCAGTTACACGAGATCTTATATCGTTGATAATATACATTCGAATTCCAAACAAACACTATCATTCATATAAAACTAATATTTGGCATACCTCACATTGTTTTAAAAGGCTGTGAAATGATGTTGGATCACAGAGTGCTTCATCCCAAAACACCTGATCTCCGGAGCCGAAGTCCGCTTTTAGTACAGAGCATCGAAGTAAGGGACAATATGAAGATAAACAAACTGTTCGGCTGTTACTGTAAGCATTTATTTTATGTCGATTGCCAATATGTGAATCGAATGACTGTTCTGTATAAAACCGTTTTCCACACATTTGACATTCCCAGTCATAATCAGAAATTCTATTCTTCATTCGTTCATGTATAGCGTAAATATCATGCTTAGGATGAAAGGGACAACTCTCATTAACAGCTACATTTGTATAGTCAAATAATGGGAAAATAATCTTCTCTGTAAAGAAACAATTTCAAAAAATGAAAAGCATACCTCATGTAGGATAGAACGTGCTAAACGACTCTGTGAAATGCTGCATTGATCTAAGATATTAGCATATATTGCTTCAGGTGAAGTTAGAATCAGGAATAATGCAGATATAGTTTGTATTTGAGAAATGGTCAGGTAACCGATGACAGTATTAATCATTCGGCTAAAAATCTGGACCCTTCGTCTTTGATCATTACAATGGAAATAATACCTAATGATGGAAAAAGTCAAATCATTACAAGTTTAATGTGCTTTTGGTAATGGAAAGTTATTTGTGCAGCCAAATTTACAGCATCGTATTCTTAGTCAACAATTTCCGACAGAAAATAAAAGAAGACGATGACGATTATAGAGTGAGTCGGTTACATAGAAAAAAATGATGCATCATACCAACCTTGATGTCAGAATAGTGAGATGGTTAAAAACCGAATGACCATAATGGGTAAAGAAACACAACACTAGTCAATATACTATTGTATATTGTATTCACGAAGCTCAGCTTATCTTAAAGCACGAAGCGATTACTGGGTTTTGACCACAGACGTCTTTGTCGCACTGCTCGAGCTCTGTGGAACCACCGTGTGAGCAATGTTTAGGTCGGGCGTAGGGTACTAAGCAAGACAGACAAGTCAATTGGTGAGGTCGTGAACCTTCATCCGCTGAGATGGTTGGATATGTACTGCGCGTGCCAAGCCACTCCCTACCTCGACGTGGTTAGCAGAGAAATCTAGGATGCGCATTTCGTCCTATTTAGGACTCGTCATCTAGGTGTACTTGCGCCCCAATGAGTGATGTTGTTCCCCACAAGACGCGAATCTCGTACCCGTCGCTTCAAACGCCAAAGCGGTATCCACTTGGCTACTGAGGCACGATAGCCACCTCTTGTACAAACAAGTACACTATAATAATAAGTAATTAGGCAATATCGAGACATCCTCATAGAAGTCCATATGCCAACACAGGACGATCGATTCGACCCAGTATAACAACGGAGAATTACAAGTATATCAATAAATAGTAAGAAGTTGGATTAGGTTGGAAGAGAGTTCAGGGAGATCACACCAAGGTATGGGGTCAGTCGATGAAGTCAGTAAGTGTAGGTCTGAGTCGTCTATGGAGGTGCAGACTGCCTGGTTGAAGTCTCCGAGACGGAAGGAATCAGTGGTTGAGGACTCTCAGTAACATGGCTGAAAACTCGTCACGATGGCGCAGACGTATTCACTCCTTAGCATCTTCCAAAGCTTAAATATTACTACTAACCTATATATTCAAACTGTTTGTTATCTCACACAACTTCGTCTACTTTGATATCACTTCTTTTTTACACACCTGTTCTTTTGTACTACTGTAAAGTGTGGAACTTGAGCCGAAGCACCCGTATGCGAGGTCCTATGTTCATTTCGTCAGTCAGTTTTATTTTAGGGAATTCAGACTATACAATTTCTTTCTAAAACAAGTTTTTGTGATAGCTTGGTTAAGTTCTGTATGTACCACCATATAAAGTACATCAAATAAATCCGTCTGCTGTACAATCCAACTAGGCTTATTTATCAATATGGTTAGTTCAGAGTCTCAACATTACCAGTATCTTAACAAAAAAGGTCACATTTGAGTTTAAGGACAATCAGTTCCAAATGTGGGATTTTTTCTCCAATATTACTTATGTGTTAGCTTACAGACGTAGCAATGGCATCTAAGCATGGAATATATAAGCGAGTAATGTAACTCAATGCGGTATTTACTAGGCTATGAGCCACACTTGCTGTATGAGGGGCTTATGACACTTTCCGGTTGCCCAGGAAGAAATAGGCCAACCGGGTCTCAAACTCAGGACCAACCACTTGAGATTCAAATTCCTAGGCCAGTGAGCCACAATGTATGGAATAGGAGATAAACGTCGCAATTATTGGCTGAATTTTGCTCCTACTATTGATTGTTCGGGGATATTTACATTATCTTGAGTTTCATTCAAGAATAGCGATTAATTTGTCATTTTTCTTGGTCATTGTTTAGTTTAGATTTTGGAGATGATCATAACTTGAGTGTAACTATTTAGACGATAAAATAGTTCCGTAAGCGCATACCACAAGGTCATCATCATCCCCCCCCCCCCAGCCTACCATATTTCACTAATCCTCGACACCAAATGCTCTAGTCAGTAAAAAAAAACAACTTAAGTGTCTGCATGAGCTATTTAAAGGGTCAGTTTAGTCAATAAGCACACAGAATGTGGTGATAACAATATAAGAGTTCAATTTACCACAAATTGCATAACTCTACTACATCAGTATACAAGACGGGAAGAAGGAAGATAGAGAAATAGAAAAACATGTGACCAAAAGTTGCAGAAAGTCATGAGAGTCATAAGACAAGGCAAAAAAACAACGAAATGTTACACGATGGTTACGATGAAGATAATGTGTGAATGCATCGGTGCTAAGGAGATTGATTCTGAACTATATCACCCAGAATCTCTAACCACTGATTTCCGTTTAGGCGTGGACCCCAACCTAGATGTCTACATTTTCTTACACAGCATAGTGAATCATATGAACTGAGTTGCAAACTGAAAAGCAGGGAAATCGGTTGTAATATAGTGCGGTCTATAATGTCGGATTTATGACTTCTTCCTAGATAAGTTAAACTTTCGTAGCAGTAAGTACAAACGCCTAGTTCCAGATTTCAATATATTCCCAACAGACGAGATTGGTCTGTTATACATCATGAGTAAATAAAACTTTTTTCTATGGTACAATATAGAGCACAGGTTGAAGTCTTTCCTCATAAGTTAAACCGACAATATCAGGGATCATGCTCGACGTAAGGTAAGCTCCTGCTGCCTGTACCAAATCTTCCAGCTCACGCCGGACAAAAAGGCCTAGGAATCTAGGCTAGGGTTTACACAAGGTTAGGTTAATATGGTCATCCATTATTTTGATTAATGTAGGAGGTAAACGTTTTTCCATCGATAAAAACTCTTACTCTGGGGATAACAACCGAAAGTTCGCCTATTTATTTTGCTGTTCTGTATAGTAGGTGATTGTACAGCTGTGTTTGATACGGTGCATCGAAACAAAAAGTTTGGATGAGTTCCAAGTAACATTTTCAGAGTATAATATACTCCCTTTAGGGGAGTAGCAAGCACAAGCTATATCACACCATAATGCAAAGGTGTATGTTATTTATTTAAGGATTTTTTTGGAAGAAAGGTATCGATTCAGTTCTGTGGTATGAGACCATCATTTACATAGGCAAGTTTGGTTTAAAAAGCATGAATAAACAAGGAAGTGAGAAAGAAGACATCGTGAGTGTAGGTCTGAGCATAGTGGATCTCAGCTACACTTTTGAGTGAGATAAACAAATAATGAAATAGATACTTAGTTGCTGGTAGCTAGCAATGAAATTCAAGATGTGTTTCGTTCCATTCAGGATTCACTAACCGGATATGTTTGCACCCAAGCGACTGAGTGTTCTGAGTATCACTAAATAATGAAATCAAGCAATTCTCAACAAACCAATCGGTTGAACAATAACTCCATGCTTGTTAGTGACTCACGTTGAGATGGACTTTCCGGAGCCTTAATAGTGACCTAAGTGTGAGGGGCAAGTACTCAACAACAATTGTGAATGATGGTCGTGCTACATCATAGATTAGATGAAGCTATAATATGTGGACTACAGGGGTTTAACCCACCCGTTGAAAAGTAACAGGCTCATTGCGAGACCTGATAGTCTTATGGTAGATCCCTCACGAGTTCATAGATTAGTACTATTGAGTCTAAAAGGATGAAAAAACTGCCCAGCGCTGTTTTTCTGTGGTCCTCCAGCCGATATAAATCTGTGATGAAAACCACCTTAAAATTAATGGAATAGTTGTTTCTGCAATTAATGGGAAAGCATATCAATCCGTAACTCAGAACAATTTATGAAAGTAGATCATTGCTGTTGAAATTTAACGTGGAATGAAGGTCTCCATTTGAAACATTTACCGAACTAAGTGTACTAACTTTGAATATTGAAAATCTTTCACTGAATAGGTTTTGGAAGTGCTCGTTAAACAATGATGCTAGTTTCGTCAAATCAAATGTATCAAAACTTTTTATTATAGCCTTTGCGTGTCAAATTAATACAAAGAACAAAATAAAAGCAACCATAAGAGGCAAACTGTTGCATAAGGCATTGTGGTGTGGAAATTCACCATTAAAAACATGCATCAAACTGCTATATCTATTTAGCTTCAATTAGAAGTACTCAGAAACTTCCAGCGCACATGACACATGGATTATGAAGAATACGATATAAGTGAAAAACTTGGGCACTGTGGTAGAATGTAGTTCCATATTAGATTTGTTTATTTGATATAAAGCGCACAGTGATACAGTATTATTTAATTGATTACGTTTCGAGCATAAATTATTGCTCATAATCATATCAATGTAATCACACTTCTTTCGACATCTGATTTTATAGTCCTGTCACCTGATCTCTCTCTTCGTTTTTTTGTTTTTTGATTGGTAGTAAAGTTTTCCATATCTCTGGTATAGGTGTTGCGTCATTCCTATTACATGTGTTGGGTGTGGATTCGATGAACAAAGATTCAGTAATTAATCTCTCTCTCCACCTAGCTATATTAGACTTAAGTACAGTGGTTTTGTCCCATCCTATTGTGTGGTTGTGTGTTAACGAATGTAATTCTCCAAGGAGAATTACCTATGTTGGATTGCAGAATAAAACGAAGGATAGATGGTGGTTTAGATACTACCGTCCACAGAAAACCAACACATTCTAACAGATATCTAGACTTCAAGTCATCTCATCCAGTGTCAGTTAAAGCGGGTTTAGTCAAATGTCTAAATAGCAGAGCTGAGAAACTCACTAGTCATTGTAAGGACTTAAATAAGGAATTGAAACAGATAAAAGAAGCGTTAATAATTAATAATTATCCCCATCATTTTATTAAGAAATTCACACAAACACATAAGAAGCAAAATAATAACACTAATACAAATACAAATAATAGTGACAACATAAGTAGAAAGGAAATCAACACCTCCATTGTGATACCATACAAGGAAGGAACATCAGAAACCATACGTATGATTCTCAACAAGGTTGGAATTAGGGTGGCATTTAAACCAACAAACTCACTTAGAGGTAAGCTTTGTCGGCTAAAAGATCCGATAGAACCAATTAAGCAAAATAATATAATCT